ATTAATGGTGTTTTCATTTTTATACTCGAGTAGTACTCGTAGTACTCGAGTACTACTCGAGTACTACTCTACTCGAGCCCAAAAAACAGTACTCTACTCGAAGATCTCTGAGTAGTACTCTGAGTAGTACTCGGGCAACACTGTTATTAATTTATAGACCCCGGGATTTTATTTGATCAAAGGTTCTACAATACATGTTAACATGCAGTAGAAGTTCTCACATGACAAAGCCTTGATAATATCCGTCATGGTGCACCTTTTAACGTCAGAACTGCAAACTCCAACGCCGAGACCATGGAAATTTAGTTCTGTTTTGGGGTTGTTCAAGAATCTCCTCTTACGTGACTGCCTCACCCAACTCCTATTCCAGAAGTGCAACTACCTTCACAACGATAAATTTCCTTCGACACAACAAACACCCAAAACATCACTCACAGCTCCTTGTTCATGGCTTTTTAATTAGCACCACATAACACACACGACCTTTTGTGTCTCAATCAAGACAAGAAATGCCTTTGCAAATGACAAAAAGCACCATCCAAGGTTCATTGTGGACGCTTTGTTCCGAACTTTGAACTGTGTCAAAACCCCTGAACCACAACAACATGGATTCACCACTTCCACCAACGCTAGTTGAGGACCAGCGACACTTTCTTGACTCTCCAGATGTATTTCAACTATCCTCGCCATTGTTTGACCACAAAAGAAATTCGCTACCCACTCGCCGCCTCATAGATTTTGAACCGCTTGGGGAACCTAACACATCATATCAACATGGTCCAGACTCGCCGGGTTGGAGACAGGAACAACGTCGTCATTCCCTGCATGCCTCTCAATCATCTCCGGCGTTGCTTGATCATAGAAGATATTTGCTGCCCGCTCGCCGCCTCATCGATTTTGAACCGCTCAGGGAACCTAATACAGCATATCAACATGGCCGAGACTCGCCGGATTGGGGACAGGAACAACCTCCTGATTACCTATATGCGTCTCAATCATCCCCGGCTTTGCTTGATCATAGAAGATATTTGCTACCCGTCCGCCGTCTTATTGATTTCGAACCGCTTAGGCAACCCAACACTGGATATCAGCACGGCCGAGACTCGCCGCCTTGGGGTCAGCCACTACCTCTTCATCATCCCATACGTGCGTCTCAATCCTCTCCGGCATTGCGTGATCATAGCATATATTTGCTACCCGTTCGCCGTCTTATCGATTTCGAACCACTTTGGCAAGCCAACACTGTATATGAACATGGCCGAGACTCGCCGGTTTGGGGACAACTTCTCGATCACTCGGAAGCACAAGAGCTGCTATCATTTCAATATCAGGACGACACTTTCCTAACAGCTCGCCGCCTTTACGATATTGAGCTAGTCAGTCAACCTAGCGTATCATCTCTATCTGATCGAAGCTGGCCAGATTGGGGGAAAGAGCCATTTTTTCAATTGCCAGATGCAACAGGAGTGGTTCCGCGAGAATGGTATGCGCCGGAATTTCAGATTGTCTACTCCAATGGGTGGATTAATGCGATACCCGTTCGCCCGTTGGGCTATGACTGGACCATGCTACCTGTCCAGCCCTCTCAATATGACAGAGACTCCCTAGTCAGCGAAGATTCTGAACCCCTACCCATTAATGGACTTGGTTCATTAAAAGATCCTCAAAAGTACAAATGGCTAAGGGCCCATCACAGATCGATGTCAATTGAGCGTGCTTGTAAGGCCTGGGAATATGAGTTAAGAAACGGTGACCCGAACTCAGATCCAATCGATGCCGACACCAAGAGCCTCTTTGGCTCACTCGAAAGATTGGAAACGAGCTTCGTGGAGAATCAGCCAGGGATAGACGCACCACAAGAATCGTTTGTTAAACAGCCACCTAAACGGTACAAAATCAGTGAGATGCCTCAAGACGATCTGCAATCGAAAACATCGGAAAAAGCCGACAAAGAGGAGTTGCCTTTCTGGCTTGGACCTAGGTTGGGTATTCGTTTGCCGCCGGGCATGGTAAACCTGGCCGCGCCGCACATCCCGCATTATCTAGTGCGTACACTCGAAGATCCGCTCAGGTTTCTCCCTTCAAAGCTTCGGTTCAAGAGGAATTTCCCATTCAAAAATGTCATTCCAAAGAAAGGTCAAATCGGCCTCCATCCAGCTTTCCGTACCGCCGCACCAGAAATCATTCTCCAGGCAGAAAGGGATCTCGAACTTGCCAAAGAACGTCAGTTCCAAACTCCGGAGGAAGCATGGAGGTCTCCTATTATAGGTGAATTCGACGGCGATACTGGGAGAGAGCCCCTGTGGGAATATCCACGGACCACAGCTTCTGATGGTGGAAGTCTCACCAGCGAGCTCGACGCTCTTGACCAGTTTATGTGGGGGGAATATCCGTTCACCTCAGTTTCCCAGCGTGGAAGTCTCACCGACGACGAGCTTCAAGGTTTGGACCAGTTGATACCGGAAACCCACAGTCGCAGTGCCGATGAAGGGAGCTTCATCTCAGTGTTCTTCGACCAGGCAGAGGCATTGGCCGATGTAGAAGAAGTCACAATGTTGTCCGACGGAACTGAGGCATTCCCAGCTGTAGACGAAGCCATAATGTTTTCGAACGAATTCATGGAATCTCCAGACACAGGCCCCATCACAATGTTCCCTGGCCGAGACATCGAACTCGACCAAGGCCCAATATCTTCGGATCATGTCATGCAATCCCCTATGGTAGGACCTGTCTCGATGGAATCTCCCATTGGAAACCAAGCCGCAACGGTTGAGCATGAAGGCTCGGAGAGTTCAATTGAAGGCCAGGAGTCAGGTTACTACTTTGGCCAAGGCATGGAATACATCACTGGGGAAATATCTTTGCCGGCTGATCCCAATGCGGCCCCATCATACCCTCCTCCATCGCATAAAAATACCTACCCAGAATCGCCGTCGCTCTCGAAGAGACATCTCCGCAAAGGCACAGAATCTCCCATTGAGGACGAAGACTCAGTATTTTCAGTCCTTGAAATGGCATATCGCAAACCAAACTGTGCTCCAATAGTTTCTGACCAAGACACGGAACATCAGATTGAAGGCCAAGACCAAGAGGAAACGTCCTCTGGCGAAAGCATCGAATCATCATTCGTATTGCATGAGGATCTCCCTATCATCAGGTGGTTATACGGCTACTGGGATGAGGACTCAGAGCCAGAGGGCCAGCCCTCCTCATTGAAGCAAGTTGATAAGGACAGAGACCGCTTTAAGCGCAATAGTGCAGACTTTGCCCGTCTTCCACCTATTGATTTTACCAAACCCTACAACGACTTCTGCAAAACCCAATTTGGTTCACTGCTAACCGGCGGTGGCTTGCAAGATTACAAACTTGCCGACGAAAAGAAGGTTGAGAAAAGGACGGAAGTAGCTGATGATCCGCTAGAGACAACCGAGGTTTATTGGCCCCAAGAACACGAGGCGCACATGCGAGAACTCTTCGCAGAGATTGAGCTGGAGGGTGCCACACGGATCTTGACAACTTGGCAAGAAGTGTATGTAGAGCGAGGGGAAGAGGGGGAAACCAAAGAGGAAGGAGCCCAAGAGAAGCAAACTGAGACCGCTTTGGAAGACAGCAAGGAAAACAAAACGCAAGAGCTGGCTGTTCTACTAGAACAAAAGTATTCACAGGTGAAGAGCTGGTTTGGAGGATTCACCACCAGGGAGGGAAATAAAAAGGAGCGAAGAAAATCCCAGGCCGCTGAGCCGGAGCCGAAAGGTAAACTAATGGGCTGGATTGGAGGATTAACTAGCGCAAGGGAGAAACCAACCCTTGAATCATTCGGAGACAGTTCCGGATCTGTACCCCCAGGACCCGCTGATCAATTGGTGCGAAAGAATTCCAAGAGGGTATCCTGGCTTGGAGGATCGCCTGCGAAGAAGCAAAAGCAAACCGAGGAAGTATTCGGGGATAGCCAGGAGAAGATAGAGACAGAGCTTATCCATCCATTGGAGAGAAAGGGATCGAAACGGAGGAGTTGGTTTGCAGGCCATTCTACTAAAAAGCAGGAGCAAACCGAGGAAGTGCTTGGGGACAGCCAGGAAAAGACAGATCCAGGGGTTGCTCAACCATTGGAGCGAAAGCGTTCAAAGCGGGCAAGCTGGTTTGGAGGACATCCTGCTGAGAAAGAGGTACGAACTTCGGAAGATAGCTATGAAATGTTAATCCAAGAGGAAGTTCATCCATTGGAGCGGAAGGGATCGAAACGGAGGAGTTGGTTGCCAGGACATATCGCTGAGAAGGAAGAACAAACTAAACCAGATTCAGAAGACAGCAAGTTAACTCCAGCGTCTGTACATCCACTGGAGCGAAAGGGCTCGAAGCGAAGGAGTTGGCTTCCAGGACATTCCGCCGAGATGGAGCTACAAACTTCAGAGGATAGCCACGGAAAGACAGCCCAGGGGAATGTTCAACCACTAGAGCGAAAGGGTTCGAAGCAGAGGAGTTGGCTTCCAAGACATCCCCCTGAGAGGGAGGTACAGACTTCAGATGATAGCCACGGAAAGATAATCCAGGAGAATGTTCAACCACTTGAGCGAAAGGCTTCAAAGCGGAGGAGTTGGTTTCTTGGACATAATATTGAAAAGGAAGACCAAACCCAACGCCGTTCGGAAGACAGCTATGGAAAGTCTACCCAAGCATCTGCCAATCCACTGGAACGGAAGGCTTCAAAGCGAAGGAGCTGGTTCCCAGGACATCCCTCCCGGAAGGAAGGTCAAATCAAAGGAGATTCAGGAGAAAGCTGTGGAATGTCAACCCAAGCGTCTCTCAATCTGCTGGAACGGAAGGCCTCCAAGCGAAGGAGTTGGTTTCCAAGGAGTTCCACCGAGAAGGAGGTACGAAGTTCAGAAGACAGCCATGGGAAGTCAACTCAAGGCTCTGGTAACCCACTGGAGCGGAAGGCTTCGAAACGGAGGAGCTGGTTTGGAATGGTACCCCCGGAGAACGAGGAGCCAACCGAAGATGCTTTGGAAGGCAACGATGAAAACTTACCTCAGGGACCTGTTACTCCATTAGAGCGAAAACGCTCAAAACGAAGGAGTTGGTTTGGAATAACACCTGCTAAGAAGACCGAACAAACCCAAGAAGACTTCGACGGCAGTAAGGAAGAGATAACCCAGGGAACAGCGGAACCATCAGAGCAAATTCTAGCGAAGCGGGCGAGCTGGCTGGGAGGATTGAATACACAGAAAGAGAAACAAACTAAGAAAGTCCCAGATGACAGTCAGGACAAGATAACTCAGGGACCAGCAGATCATCCAGAGCGAAAGCATAGGAAGAGGGCGAGCTTGTTTGGATTACCCAGCGAGAAAGAGAAGACCGAGCAGGAAAATCAAGAGGAGCGGAAACGGAAGCGGAGCACCTGGTTTGTTTAAGTAGTTCTGAGGTTGAGAGAAGGGTTGTAAATGGAAGAAAAACAGGAAGATAAATATGTCAATGATGGCAGTGTAAAATTTGAGACTTGTCACAAGAAAAAAGCAGGCAAAGATGTAAGACGAAACTCAGATAGTGGAGTTGTCTTTCTATGAATGAAAAATATTTATCATAAATCGTAAACCCCAGAATCTACGTCTAGTAGAAACCCCGAGTATATATGTGATGATGTAGTTATCAATATTTGGCCGCAGCCTAAATAGGGTGAACCCCCTGTCCCCATGAGATATGCCCAAGGGTATCCGGCAACCAATGTTGTAGTGCCCATTTTTATAGTTGAAAATTAGGTGCACACCGAGTCCTGCACACGTCCCTCTTGTGCGTGTTGAACCAAATGCCGCAAAACCCACAGAACAGAACAGAACAGTAAGGAAATGAAATAAACGCCCCCGCAACCCCATGAACCAGTTGTAAAGCAAACATGGTATGACAAAAGTAATTGAAAACAAGAAGCCAGCCTCAGGAGGCCGCATTCAGGGGGCAAATTGCGCCCAATCTACCGCATCTGTGGCATCGTATCCCATCATTCCCGTATCGGGGAAGGTCATCGCAGTGTTCGCTAGGTGAACGTTGGTATTGAAATCTATCAATGGAGCAGCATAAGAGCCCGTAGCGCCGAACTGGTAGTTATTCGCAGACATATCTACCACAGGCATATCCGTGAATAGTGGTGGCGGAGGCATGTGTGAAGCATCAAACGCAGAGATCTTGGGCGTGGAGTGGAAGCTGCCAAGAGGCTCAAGCAGCAATGCTGCTGAAGGTGCATTCTCCACAAGTGCAGCGACGTGTGGTTCAAATCCCCAATCTCCGACCCAATCCTTCATCGTCGCTCGACACTTGAAGTGTGACGCAAGGTGCTCCGCGCGCCCAGACCATGTAGTGAAAGTAGCACTGCAGAAGCCGCAGCGAGACCTAACGTTGCCCACTTCCGACTTCCAGGCTTCCATTCGTGCGTTGATCTTGCACTCGTGGGTAAGCCGGAGATGCTGTTGGAAGTGATCTTTACGATAGAACGTGCGCTCTGACGGTTCCTTCATCTGGCACGCCGAGAAGTTGTGTGTCTCTAAGTGCTGCTTGGTTGGGTTTGGAAGATCGCAGAATGCGCACAGTGGGCTGATCGCGGAATCAATGATTCCGCCCGAGAGACAACAGACCCAAGTCTCCAGGCTCAAATGCTGGGACTTTTCATGGCGCTGCCAGTCGTGTTTGGTCGCGAATGTGGAGTCTGGACAAAACGTGCATTGGAATGGGCGGGCCTTTGCCTTGGCAGTAGGCTTTGGCGGCTTGCTTGGGTTGACCCTACGGCGACGACGGTCTCCGGCACTGATGTGGCTGTACGGGAGCTTGAGCGACGAGTATGAGAAGGACGTCTGATCCGAAAGGGACGAGCCCCCCAGGGTGCTAGTCAATCCAGTCTCATAACTAGCCATTGACTGGGCAAAGTAAGAGTCATTGTGAGAAAAGGTTGTGATCGAACGCGCAGCGTCGTAGTTATTAGGCTTCGAACTGGCCTGCTCGGGGCCAAAGAGAGCCGAAGGATAGTAGTCAAACTCTTCGTCAATAGGATCGAACAGCTTCAGCTGATTGTCCTCACAAACGGCCAAAATGACGGGTGGAGAAACGGCTTCGAGTTCGATAGGAGTGACCTTCCATCGATCAAGGGGGTTCATTTCTCCGAACGAGCGCTGTTTGGTAGGTGCACCAGCTGCCTGCTTCTGGTTGGCACGAGCCCGATTCTTCCTGCGCGTGTTGGCCAGCCACAGCGATATCTGCGAGCGTTTCAGCCCGCTCATGGTGACGAGTTCATCCTTCTCCTCGCTCGTAGGATAAGGGTTCTCTCGGTGCTCATGATACCAAGTCCTGAGAATGCTACGGGCCTCTTTCGAGAACCGACATCCTCCAGAACCAATGCGGCCACTGGGGCACTGCTCCGCGTTCTCCTCTTCGCCACAGTTGTCACCGGAAGTGGCAGATGGGGTAGATGAGTGATCGGATGAACCCTGAATCATGTTAGACGCAACGGACCAATTGATACTCGAGACCTATTCTCACCTGGGCAACCCAGCGGGATGCGTTGCGGCACAAATCAAGTTCGCTGCCCCTGTTGGAAGAGATGCTAAGACCGCGGTTCTCAATTTCACACGATTCTAGCTCATCATCCTCAGGCCAATTAATGTCATCAAATAGATAATCGTCCATGCGGTGGTTAGCACGAGGCTTCGACGATGGCGGTGGCTCTGTGGATTCAGGCTTCGCAGCGCTTCGTCGTTGTTGGAAAATGGTCATCCTGGCGGTTTCCTGAAAGGCCTTTCCGTGAGATAACTTTGATCCACGGATTTCAGGATTCAAGAAACATGGAAAGAGGAAGAAAGGAAAGTCATCGATAGAGCGGGAAGTAAAGAATGGTAGTCATCCACATGCAGCCTCGCTGCTTACATAAGCTAATGGCGGGGATATACGACCCCGATCAGGACAAGCTCCACGCCTTCCCATTTACACATCACGTGCTGACTACTGATTGTGACAATTCTGACAATCTATCGGTGAGAAGATACGCCGAGCATCGGAGGTTTCGTCGGGCTCCTTGGCAGAATGCTTGATGAACATCATTTCGATTCTAATATCAAAATTATACTCCGTATATTATACTGAGATATCTAAATTTAAAGGGCATGATATTTAATCCCAATTTTAGTATCTACAAGTAAAGAGGCAAAATAAATTGGATGCATGGCACTCCCCATATCCCCGCTCAAACTCGACACGCCTAATTGAGAAGAAGAGACAGCTTCCAAGGGCACACAAACATCAAAACTGATATCCCCCCGGATGTTTCCAAACTTCCACGCGCAGAAGGTATCTGGAATACAGAAACGTGTTTGCACGGCACCCTACATCATTACACACAAACGTGGAAAACCAGCTAGGAAAGACCTGGCAATCAGTGCTACTCCTACCTGCCAAGGATGATAATCCATGACCACACGCACCGCCAAACTAGTAAAGATCCCTGGCTCCTCGATCGATCATCGATCAATGTGTGTGTATGCGTCTGTCTATTTCCTATATCTTAAATACACATTCCTTTCCACAAATATCCAAAGATAGATCCAGATACTGCTTGCTGGCCTCACCGCTCCTGAGTGAACATGCATGTTCATCCCAATCCCCTCACCGGCGCCCGCCGGCTACCGCTCATATCTCAATCCAGGTCACTGGCACGGCATATCGATCTAGCGTCTATCAACCCACGGGCCCTTGCAGCTTGAGCCGTCTCTGAAACTTCAGAAGCTGTTGGAAGAGATAGCCAGTTGTAGGACGATATGCCCTAGACAATGTTATCTAGCACCAGTACCATAAACCCCCGCATCTGGAAACCAGCCACTGACTCCCCTCCTATATATAACTGCCGAGTCCCCCAACACAACTCAAAACCACGGCTCACAGCATCAAGATCGACGCCCGCATCTCAAAACAACATCGGCCGAGCAAAGCCGTACATCGCCACCGTACCTGACAGAAAGCTGCCGTGTCAGTCTTCCGCTTCTGGACTCAAGAGCTTAATCCCCCCTTGAACAAGTCTGTCTCACACGGCCAATATGTCAGGACCTGCAGCACTCTGCATCCAGGAGCGGCTCTTCAAATGCCCTTCCCGCCACGGCGGGTCGCCAATCTGTCATAACAGGGGACGGCATTTATCTGCCCCAGCCCAGCTGAATCGCCCACCTCGGTAAGATGCATATCGAGGGCCCGCTCTCACATCACGAGATATAACCCGCGCGACAGACTTGCGATATCGATCGACAACACCAATCTGTCATAGACGTTGGATCTGCGCCTCCTCTCTCTCTTACAAGGTATCCCAAGGCTTCGAGCAACGCTACAGAGGACAAGGATCGTTTCACCGTCGTAGCACGACCACACACCCCTACCCACCACGCGCTCGCTCGTGCATCCCACCAGTACAGCAGCCGCCCGCCCCTTGTCCACGACATCGATCTGCCGCACACAATTACACACCACATCCCATCCACCATGGGTCCAAGTCGCAGCACATTGTGCGACCACCCCCTCCTAATGCTGCTTGCCTCCAGAGAGAGTTCTAGAACCACACACACCGCACTTTCAACCGCGCGCACGAGGCCCACCTGCGATCGGAAGGAACGCTGTTAAGGGTAAGAAGGCTATGCATGGCAAGTCATACGTCAATGGGCTCCCTCACCCATCCCCCAAGGTTGTAGAAACGGTCTGGCTGGCCTGGTCCCCAACAACGTCCGTACGACCCCCCTAGATACAGCATCTCGATCCATACCCCCCCGGAAGGGGAAGAGGTCTCAGATCTCGATCCCTCACAAATCCCCCCATCCCACCACCCGCATCATCTCAACCTATCCTGTACGAGCTCGCGTCGTAGTTGCATCGTTACACCGCATCAGCCACCAGCCAGTCTGCGGGGAAGCGAACTCCGGTGGGCGGACGACGTACATACGTCACGGGTACTATCCTGGCTGGTTGGGGTTTGCGGTAGACGCAGGACAGGGTCTCGAATTCGATTTTTTTCCCCCTAACTGTTGCGTTGTTTTTGCTGTTATCGTGGTGGCGAAAAATCAAGGGGAAAAAAACGTTGAGAGTGGTTGAGGTGGGGGGGAGAGGGGGGGGCGGGCCCGGTACTGGGGGCGTGTTAGGAAGGTGGACGGCGGGACGGGAGGGTCGCAGGGCTGGGCAGCAGCAGAGTAATGCAAAGCAAGCAAGCAAGACAATGGAGACCCTGGATTGATGTTGATTGAACCTGTGAATTTTCGGTTGACTTGACTTGACCTGAGATGAACAAGACAGAAATCTAAAAAGCGCCGTGGGGACGTCTAATTCTTGTAAGGAAAACAGTGTGTGTGTGCGGAGAACGAACTGCAGGAAGGGTGGTGGTTTGAACAATGCTGGAACG